TATCACCAAACAGACAAACACAATCCTCAAAGAAACACTTAAACAAAAAGAAATTGACATATACACCTACAAATCACTTCAAAACAACTCTCCAACGACCCCGAAACTATACGGATCTGTAAAAACACACAAACCTGAACACCTTCTAAGACCCATAATTTCATTTGTAAATTCTCCTACATACAACATGACAAAATACCTAACCAACATACTCAACAACATCACAGATAACACATATAACGTTAAAGATTCATTTCATTTCATTAACAACATTAATAATACTTACATCCCCTCACACTACTCTCTCATAACCCTAGATGTTTCATCATTGTTCACCAACATTCCAATAGACACTACACTGAACATTATTAAAGATAAACGGCCCAACATAACACCACACACAAGTCTATGATAGAATACTTCATAACAATGGTTCGACACTGCTGTATTAAAGGATATTTTACACACAACAATTAATTTTACAAACGACTATTTGGCATAGCCATGGGTAGCAACCTAGGCCCGACACTTGCAGACATAATTATGACACATCTATTAAACACAGTCATACCACAACTTCCTTTCACATTACCCTTCCTCACTAAATACGTAGATGATATATTGACAGCAGTTCCCACAGATCAAATTCAAACTACATTAGATACATTTAATAGCTTTCACCCACGCCTACAATTTACACATGAAATCGAAAATAACAAAATTGGTATCAAAAACCAAGAAACACAGATCGCTACCTCAACTTTACATTACACCATCCTCTTCATACAATAATAAACACGGCCAAAGGGTTACTTCACAGAATTATTACCCTAAGCCATGAATCATTTCACCACAAGAACATAAAGATATACAAACAGATCCTCCATAACAATCACTACCCTAAACACATAATCAACATAATAATCAACAACTACAACTCAACACTAACACCATCCACTATTACTAATAATATTACATCAAATCTATCAAATACAGACAAACCAACATACATTCCATACTATTCATTCACGGCTTATCACATAAATTAAACACATTCCTCTCTTCCGATAATTTTAAAATAGCTTTCAAAAACTGTAAAACAATTCACATGCTTTTTTTCCTAAATTAAAGATCCCACACCAATAACAAATAAATCTGACGTAATCTACAAAATCAGTTGTTTAAATTGTCCGTCAACTACATCTGTCTTACATTCCAATATAAGACAATGGATAAGAGAGTAAAGCAACATATCTATGATTGCACAAAACCCAAGCAAAATCCTACAGCACTCGCGACCCACCATTTTGAACACAAACACAACTTCGACTTCAACAATCCAAAAATATTACACACAGAACAAAACAATCATAAACGTAACTTTTTAGAAATGGTTTACATCAACAGAGATAAACACAGCATCAATTACAGAACAGACACATGTAAACCCAGTCGCAGCTACGCCAATATCATTAACCAAATTCAATATCGATAACATACAAATATCATCACATCACACAAAACATATAGCATATAAAACATCACATTCCACACATCAAACATTTTACATAACCTAATTTTTCAACAATTTAGCTTTCCTTTTCCTAATTATCCCCGTCTATATAATCCTGAAAGGATAATCTGGCGGAACCATTACCCACATTTTTCCCATCGACGGTTCTTTTCACTTTAAAGAAGCCAACTCTTTACATAAAAATGTCTTTCTATACCGACTTCCTCCCCCACCCCTTCAAAGTCCAACGTATATAAACATAAAATAGCAATATCTCACTGGCACTCTCAACACGGCACACAAGAATGGCACAATTACGCAAAAATCAAACACTTTGAGTGAGTAGAAATACTTTGATTGAATATAAAAAATAATTTTTTTCCATTGTATAAATTCCACAACCTACATGTATTTGTTCAATTTAAACAATGTTTGTAAATCCCGGGCCCTGAAGATGATCTCAACGAAGATCGAAACGTTGGCACGATAAAGAAAATATTTTTCTGAAACCTACGTCACACTAATAAGGATATGAAATGTCAACAGAACAGTAGGTAAAAAAATGTTCTTACTTTTACTCCCCAAGTAATTGCTGGCCATAAAATGAGGCAAGTTTACAAAAATAAAATAATAATTAAAACCAAGTGAGAAATGAATTTAATAGAGAATAGCAGAATGGATATTAACCGAAAATGAGCATAACATAGGAGTGATTGTTTAGCATATTATATCCACAGGATCTCAAGTAACCTACTTGTCGTACCATGAAATGTGCAGCTCAGTTAAGAAAAGCGGAATTGTACTTAATTTTTTTTTCATCTTGGTTCAGATTCCGCTTTCAAAGGAATAACAGACGATTTCGTCTGGTGTACAATAAGACCGCTATTAGTCAACGCCCGCCCGGTGGCGGCGGAGGTGTGGGCAGGAGTTTATGAAGCCGGTCCAAGTTCGCTCCGCATAATTAATGGGACTCATGTCAACTGGGTGTTGGCGAAATCATAATGCAAACATCTTACTGTGAATTGAATCAAACGGATTTTCAATTTCTCGTCGGTAATTCCGTTCCTTCCAGGGCGAGAACTTCGAACAGAATATCTTTCGAGTCACAAGCCAACCCTTCATGAGTACATTTTTTAATTCAACAGGTAATTTTCCTCCAACTTTATGTTATCCCAGTTAATGGATGAAAATTATCAAGGGAGGGACTTAAAACGCGATTTGAATTTTTAAAAGACTAAATGAGTACTCTCCTGTGGTTTCCTCTCTTACATTGTACATGCGGTAGGATGGTAAACTGTTTAAAATCCCTATTTACTACTATAAACTTGGAACATTTGGTTAAATGAGAGAAAAATCTGATTTATGTATAGTTCTAACAGTCTGAACACTTATCACTCACTAACTTATCCAATTGTTAACGAACTTTCCTAAATATTTTCTTGTGGTTCTATCTGTAACAATCTAATAGAATATTTATATAATATAAAATATATAATAATATAATATATATAAAAAGTATGTTTCTTTTTCTATTATCAGTCATTGTTTTGCTAAGGCAAAATGAGTGAGCACTATGAGAATAGAATAGGACATGTTATCCTGATTCGTGTTGCACCTTCTCATACAGCAAGGTTGACCTGAAGAAGTCTTCATGGCCCCAAAGGAAGTAGAAGAGCCTGGGCCAAGCTTTATCCACAATCTCATGTATAGTACGTAATTAAAACCTGTGCTGCTATTTGCGTTATGAGCCTAATAGCTCGTCGAGGTTTTTCTTTTTTCCCGCTTCTGGCGACTGCGTATCTCCATCGCAATCTTGTATTTCCAACAGCTGGTACCTTTTTTCAGGGTCGTTACAATTTTAAAGTTAAGTTGGGTGACGCTGTAGCGATAAGTTGGAGAACGTCGTTTTGGTCGTTACCATTTTGAAGTTTCGTTCGGTGAAGCTTTAGCCGTAACTTGGAGAAGAATTTTGGACATTCCGGGGGGGGATTTTTATTTCACCAAGTCGTCTTTGTATGTCGACTGCGTTTCTTAATTATAGCCTTGTACTTCTAACAGCTGGCACCTTTTTTCCTAATTCATTCCTATTTTGCAGTGCAGATGGGTGGAGCTTTGACTATTACTTGAAGAAAGTCATTTTGGTCAGAGCTACACTTTGGACCCGTACAAGGATTGTTTTGTCTTTATCCTTTTCCAGGATAAAGAGTATGTTTTCCTGTTTTCCCAGTAAACTTAGAAACTTTTTTAACCTACTTTTTTTTGTTTATATTGTGGGTTAGGATATGCTTCACATTCTTATTAATTTTGCACCTCCCGCATTCTAGTTGACAGGCGGAATCTGTCAAGCAGAGTCAAAATGCGGGCATTATTCAAAGGATGACATTTGTTCTTGAATCGTTGGATCAAAAGCTTTTTGTATTATAGCTTGCGTCACTTCATCCTAGCTTTAAATTTCCAACAACTGGAACAACAATTTATTTCCTCGTAGTCATTACCATTTTGAAGTGCATTTGGGAGGAGGCGAAACATATAACATATATAAATAACATCCGTACTTGTATTTGAAAATACTCAAAAACGGTTGTGCCACTGGTGGTATGGACCCTACGATTTTGCTATTTATCGAAAATTCATTTTTCCATCTTGTCGGCTATTGAAAGATTTGCCTCCATGATGGAGTTGAGCGTCTGTTAGTTTCCTATTTGTTACTACTATTTTCAGGCCACCCCCTTTTTGTCAGGGGCCTTCAAGAGGTTCTTTACCATTTTGTGGTGCAGATCAATGGATTAAGTTTTGTCTACTATTCGGAGAACGTCATTTGATGACTATAAAACAAAGCTAATTCTTGGCGCTGACTAAGGAACTTTTCGCCTTTAGTATTTAGCATCCTGACGCACCTTCAACTAAAGGAAGGAAAACGCTTTTGTTTACGTTTATGGCTCACATCGTTTTGGAATTTTTTTACCTTGTTTAATACACGTGTTGTTTTTTATTTCAGCGCAAAAATCTTTCTTTACGATTCTTGGTTTAATCAAACTACATGACGCTTTTTCTATCTTTACGACGTTTTGCTCGTACTTATTACCTTGGCCTTGATTTAAACTTTTGGATATTTTGCCTTTTTGGGTACAGTTTGACTCTCCCTTGTTTTTTTCTTTGCTCCATTAAATTTCTTTTTTTCTATATACGTCATGTATTTTTTCTTTAAGGCTGTAGCTGCAAGTTGCAAGGTTCACACCTTCTTCCTAGCCGCTCATGATCGTTTCCAGCCTTTTAACCGATTATAAAAGATAAAGTTTCAAAATATAGGCTCCATTATCATCGATAGCTTTTTGATATTGTTAACATTATTAAGCTTTTTATGTTTTATACAATTTTCCGAATGTATAAATATTTTTTTTAACTATTTTTTCTATGTCCAACGTTTTTACCATTATAATCTGATAGTTATAAACTTTGATTATATAATTTGATGATTTTGTTTCAGAACCCGTCTTCATCCGCCAGCTCATCCTCTTCGCGGTTGCGGACTGTCAGGGCCAAATCCGGATCACTCAGCTACATCTCGTCAAAATATGAGGTAAGACACTGCTTGGATTCATTCGGGTCGATACAATAGAAAACACATCCTTTGACCAAATTGAGCTTAATCGTCAAGCTAAAATTGCCCCTTTTATCCTAAGAAAGAAAGAAGAAAACTTTATAATATAAAATTATTCCTGTCTCCCTTTTATTTTCTCCGGCCTCGGTGGCAAGAAAGATATTGTATGACTTCGGCCAAAGTTGTTTGTTTTGCCACAGCCGCTTATGAATGGTGGTGGCGGTGGCGGAGGGAGATTGCGTAACCCAAGTTGCCCAGTTTATGCCCACCCCTGCTGCCACCCTACTGCGGGTGAGTAAACACCCCAAGGATTTAACTGGAAATACATACCAGACTTCCTTTTCAGTTCTGTAAGCATAGGGCCGAATTAACCACGAAAAACCCCTCGAGGAGGTTCTCTTTAATTATAAACCGTCCTGCGAATTAAGAAAAGCCTGGATAAAGTTAAATTCGGGGGATCTGTCCAGTATAAAAATCGAAACTTAATTTCGATGTGTAGACAGTTTGTACTTCAATTTGCGGAACAGCATTCCCGAAGCGGTTATCTGAAAGCAACTTAAGAAGTGGGTTGATGTCGGAAAACTGAAGTTTATCATTCGTAGAGATCCTCACTGGATCGGTTTTTCTAAACGAGTAAATTCTTTATAAAAAAAATGAATAATTATTACACACACTTATAATCGGATAAATATTGTAACATTTTTGAATAACGATGTGGGGTGATGTACTGTTTGCTTGTTTCTTATTTTCTTGGCAGTTCTATTTAATAATTTATTATCATTTTCTTCAGGTTTGTATTTAAAAGAAATTAATACTTGGAGTTTGAACATCCTTGTATATATTGGGTTGTCCGGAAAATAATGCAGGATTTTAAGTTTTCATTAAAAAAAATCTATATAAAATATTCTGTTTACGTTTACAGGATTACTCATTTGTATGAATGTCAACACTTATTAATCCTCTTCCAAATGATATTGTTTGTTTACCTCTGTAGCATTCCGCTACTTGGAAATAATTCAGTCATCCTTATAATGTCAAAGCGAGAATTTCGTACGATTTTCTTTTACGAGTTTAAACTCGGCCGAAGCGGAGCCCAAACGGCTAGAAACATTAACCAAGTCTGGGGCGAGGGTTGTGTTAATGAGTGCACTGTGCAAAGGTGGTTTAAAAAATTTCGGGAGGGAGATTTCAGCCTTGAAGATGAAGAAGGTCGTGGAAGGCCTTCCTCTCTTAATGATGATGTTCTGCGATCAGTGGTGGAAGAAAACCCCAAAACAACTGTTCGAGAACTTGCAGAGCAACTCAAAGTCAGTAAAACGACCGTCGCTGACCACCTCAAGGCGATTGGAAAAGTGAAAAAACTCGAAAATTGGGTTCCACACTCATTAAACGATCGCCAAAAAATCAGCGCTTTGATGTTTGTGCATCACTTCTTTGTCGAAACAAAAATGACCCATTTCTGGCCAGAATTGTTACATGGGACGAAAAGTGGATTCTCTACGATAACACTAGACGTTCTGGACAGTGGCTCGACAAAGGAGAAGCTCCAAAGCCCCCAACTCATCAAAAAAAGGTAATGGTTACGGTATGGTGGGCTTCATTTGGTTTAATACACTACAGCTTCTTAAATCCTGGCGAAACCATCAATGCTGAATCATACTGTAACCAAATTAATACCATGCATCAGAAATTGGCAGTAATGAAGCCCTCTTTGGTCAATCGGAAAGGGCCCATTTTGTTGCATGACAACGCTCGACCACATGTGTCACGTGTAACGTCACAAAAATTATTGGAGCTTGGCTATGAAACTTTGCCTCACCCACCCTACTCTCCGGACCTCTCGCCTACTGACTACCATTTTTTTAGACACCTGGACCACTACTTACAACACATAATATTCAAAAATCAAACGGAACTGGAAAATGCATTTATTGACTTTATCAATTCTAAAAATTCTGAATTCTACTCAGACGGAATTAATAAGTTACCAACACGTTGGGAGAAATGTATTGAGAGTATGGGAAATTATTTTGATTAAAGAACATTGCTTTAAAGTAACTAGTTTCTTTTTTTTTTGTTTAATACCAAAATCCTGCATTATTTTCCGGACAACCCAATAAATGGCATGACTGACCTCAGAAAGCGATGTGCCGAAAACGTCTTTAAAAACAAACCAGCGAGGGTGGGAGAACCAGGTTGATAGTAGACGACCAAACAATGGATATTCTTTAAATTATGAAGTAAATTTAGTCGGTATTGAAAAAAATAGACCTACTTTCAAACAAAATTACATTTTATTATCTATCTCCAATATTTATCTCGAAAAAATGGCTTCAGTTGAAAGATTAGATAATCAGCATAATACAAAACTTATTATATTTATTGCTTTTAAGGTACTCGACAATTTTAATATACTTGAAAATCTGTTGTAAATTAAAGTTTAAAAAATATTTGGTCATATTAAAAGCTAAAACCTTTTTGTGATTAGCACACTCAGAAAGTGTTATTGGACTGAAGAAGACGTATAGTTTATAAAATCTAAATATTTAATTTACACTAAAGCATTCCAGATTTAGGAGGATAAACTTAACTCAACATAATTAGTAAATATTTGTTAACCAAGAATTTGTTTAAATTTGAAGAAAACAAATAATTCGAATTTTCGTTATTCTTATTACCCTCGAGAAATTTGTTGTAATGAATGAACTATATTAAAGTAGTGATAATGGGGTAACAGTTATTTTCGTATATCTGAAACAAAAGAGGTTTTCATCTGAAATTTATTTCTTGGAGTAACTAGCTTATTGTTTCTTGCTATTAAGAGTCAAAGCTATGATTTTCATTGTATTAATAACACAGCCAAGGGAAACTTCATTTTTATTTTAGTGGATTATGATATAATTAAAAAATGCTTTTTAATCTCCTAAATAAATTTTAATTGTTTGGTTTTGGGTTATACAAGCTAAAATCTGCACATGTATTTACATACACTTACACATGTACAGAGTTGAGCTTATCACTTCTCGCAGTCCACGGCAATTCCAGCTTTTGTAATTTACAATAAATTAGCGGCAAATCTGGAGAATCACCCACCCGAGTGTTGGCAGTCGTTCTTATCCGACCAAGGGCTCCAGGGGTTAACGCCAGCTAGGTAATTTCAGACCCCAATGTAATCAGTTTCTAGATCCATACCCATTCACACTCTCACCCACTCTTAAATACATTCTCACCTATTCACATACAAAACACTCAATGAGGGTGATGGATAACTTGGTATTCCTCCATTACCTTCTACACATATTATATAACTAACCTAGCCATCGACCCTCTCAGACTACACATTCACGCTAAATACATTCACTGCTATCACATGCAAGGTACACAAAACTATCAGTACTATCTACAATAAAACAACTGTGTTTCCTCCAAAAATCGGAACAGGGGACCAAAAATTCGCTGCCGTGCTCAAGCACGAGTTGCATACTTCAATTAGGTGAGGCACATCGAGCAATCTTTCTTTATATGCCAAACACACACTCCAGCCTCGGTCAAAAGCATATCCGTGCATCAACCTCATGTCCTATCCTTAATCGGGAGGATGACCCTTCTTCTGCGAGACAGATCTTTGAGGGCCATCTGTCGACAGTGCATTACATACGCGAGTATGCGATTTAATTGTTACATATTTTGTTATTAGCGTAAATAATTGGATTCGTTGTTTGAATTTAAAACTGAATTGGGTTGAATTAAAATTAAGTAAATAAGTCATATGACCTTTTGATTTTGGGTTTTACTCAATGTTGAAATAATGTTTGCACTCAGGCAGCTCGTTTATAATGACCTTATGACCTTATTCAGCGAATTGAAAAGCCAGAGGTGGTGACACTTTAACCGGATTGATTTATTTCGGCAATAAATAAGATTTGTTCTTGACAAAATATCGAAAGTAATAAGGGATCGTTTGGGTCATTTGTTACAAGTGCCTGTCAAGAATGCGAGAGGGAAAATGGTATTTTCAAATATCCACCCTTCTTCTCTCGCCATTCTTCTGATTAAAGTTACGTAGTGTTTATTAATAAACTATGATTCTATGTTTTACCAAGATCCATTATGACTGTTATAAGTTATACAGTTTATACAATAATATCTGCAGTTCAAAAATGAGGTTAAATACCTATGAATTCTCTTAGAGAAGAAATTAATCTGGTACCCTCATCTGTTGTAACACATCATAACCAAAAGTGGTCACGAGAAAAATCCTATGTAAATCTGAGGACTAAAATAAAAATAACAAATTGATTACATAGGTCTGTAATAAATCCTGAGATGCTCATTAATCTGGAGGGCTAAATTTCAACGAGGTACCCAAAAAGTAAGCAGAAGGGAAAATGACAACGTATATCAGCTTCTTTAAAAACACGATTTAACCTACCTCTGTTGGAAGCATATTTCAAAGAAGAATACAGGAAAAGGTAATGCAGTCTCCAAAAACAAATAAAAATATATGAAGAATATGAACTAACGATTTCGGGCATATAACAATAATAAATAAAATCAGACATCATTTTTGGAAATGAGGATTGAAAAGAGGATATAAACCTGGAAGCATACCTTGCAATATCCAATAAAACAGATTGCAAAGGTGAAGAAGAAAGCAGGATAAAATCAATACCTATAAAGGAAGCCAAGTATATTCGATGTAAACCCAAAATATGAGCCGTCAAACTCATTAGAGAAGTATAGCTTGATCTTTCAAGCTGAAAACATGCTATTAATGTTTAATTCATAAAAAATCTTAAAAGAGGATACACTAACAAAAAAAACATTCGCAAGAGTAACTTCGGAACAGCCAAGTGGCCCTAAAAGCATTAGCACTAGTTAGTCGGTGAATGCATCTAAAACCTGGAAAAACATAAACCAAAACCTGACGATATCTTGGTTACTTGAACCCAAAGGAATATCGGATAATGGACAAGTAG